TCGGAACGGGAATACGTTTAGGTGTAATGGCATAATTCAAACCGTTTTCAAGTATCTGCGTTTCCTGTGTGTTCAGTTGTCTTGTAGATAAGTTAATTACCCATCTCGATTTATCAACATATGCTTCGGTGTTTTTGATTACACCTAATGAATTAAGTTTTTGTTCATGCTTGGTCTTAATAGTGTCTTTCATTTTGTCCGAGTTATACTTAACGACATCTTGGAGGTCTTTCAAATGTTCTGGTGATAAAATGTTTGATAAAATGTTTAAATTGTCGTGATACTCATCCTGTTTCCGTTTGATCTTGTGATGACTGTGTTGAATGCGAAGTCTCAGGAAGCTCCAACCCGCTTTTGACATTATCTCTGTACCTTCTCTGCAAACAACCGGTGGCGTAAATCGGAGACTTTTGGGTAATACCTTCGCGTTCTTTAACTCGTGGTTGAATGACAAATGCTCCTTCTGTTTGGCAATGCTATATGACTTCCTTTCAAGGTCTCTTGCGATCTTCATAGCACGCGAACCATAATGTGAATTTATAAGACGAAAAATGCTAAAATTGCAGCTAGGATTCATATTTATATATTAAAAGATTAAAAGTTTCTTGTCACTAGCTATGTAAAAAACGTAATCACGTTTATAAAAAAGTTTTTACAAGACGTTTCGATCAGAAACCTCCGATCTTCGTGAGTTGATATTAAAAAACTAAGAAGCCAATAAACAGGCCTCTATTTATACGGTTCGTTAGCTATTAATTTGGATGCATCAGTGACCCATAAACGTCTGGAATGTCAATATGGTCATTGCCAGAACTTTTGTCCACTTGGGAATACCAAGCCTCAAGGAACAATCGTTTGCGATAATTTTTCTCTCTACTAACTATTTCGGCGTTTTCAAAGTCCATATTATGGTCATATTGCTCAACGTGTTGGGCTATCTTGGAATTCTTATCATTATATTCAACAGCTCTTGTATGTTCTTTTATTCTTGTTTTCAATGCTCGGTTGGTTTGACCATAATAAGTAAAATCACAAGCGGAACATTCAATTTTATAAACGATGTCCCTTGTACGGTTGGTGTCTAGTTTATCTTTTGGCTTTGGAAATTCTTGCTGTAATGTGCGAGTTGGTTGAAATGAAACACGAATTTTCTCACGTTGTAATGTTCTAATTGTAATTCTTTCTGTAACGCCCCTTTATATATGGTAGAACAACATAACTAGATGAAACTGTTGATTTTTGCGTTGCATTCACATTTTCGTGCGAACTATTTAATTCCTTGTTTTTGTTTCGCCTCCTGTTATCACAGCTTTTTATGAATTGTAAGGGGTAACCGTTATCTCTTAGGACCTTTAGGACATGTTTTCTCTCTCTACGTTTTCCCCGGTTTGTTGAGGGTATTTTCTCTGCCCTATCAAGTAAAGTATTAACTACAGATCGCTTGTGTTGTGGAGGGTGATTTGACGTGTAATCCAGGTATTTGTCCGTATGCGTCTTTTTACAGTAAACATCAACCCTAATTTGACCATTTTGCCTAATTGTTACAGTATCCAAGAATGGTAATCTATTATTTTCTTCCGCTTCAATGGTGAATTGGATTTGCTTGTTTATTGAATTTAAATGCTGATGAAACTCCTCTACATATTTATACGTTTTAGGCAAGTATGGCTATCATCAACAAACCTGAACCACCAACGGGGTGGGTTGAGAGCAGTTGTTAAAGCAATTTCTTCTATGTGTTCCATAACGAGATTGGCTGTTGTGGCGCTAATCGGAGATCCCATTGCGCAACCGGACGTTTGCTGATAATATTCATTCTTGTATGTAAAATAACTGTTCTTCAATACAAACTCTAAAAGTTTTAAAATGTTAGATACTGACATTTCTGTTCTGGTTGATAATTCTCGATCACTTTCAAGTTTGTCCCTAGTTATCTTTAAAGCTAAGTTGACAGGGATAGACGTAAACAAAGATACGACATCAAATGAGACCATGACTTCATCAGTTGAGATAGACATGTCCTTTATGCGTTTACTAAAGTCAGTGCTATTACGCACATTATATCTCCCTTTAATTAGAGGTGATAAAACAATTACTAAGTGTTTTGAAAGATTGTACGTAGGAAATGAAATAGAGCTGGTAATCGGACGAAGCGGTATGTCTGGCTTATGAATCTTAGGTAAACCATAAACGTTGCCGGTGATGCGCTTGAACTATGTAAATGGTCATAAAGTTTCTCATTAATCTGTGGTAAATTGTTATCGTTATGCGACCTTTCCGACTTAATATCTCGTAGAAGTTTGTTAAGATCTTGTTCAACTTTGCTGGTAGGGTTTCTACGTCTATCTGTAATTCTTAAGTAAGTCTTTTTATCAAGTAATAAATCAGAAATTTTCCTATCGTAATCATCAGTATTCATTACAACAATCGCTCTCCCTTTGTCAGCTGGAACAATAGTAATATCTTTGTCTTTCTTCAAATTTCTTAAAGCATGACTTTGTTGTTTAGACATGTTAGTTGTCCTTAACGCCTCAGTATTTCTTAAGGTATTAACGACAGATGCTCGTATAGTGGCTTTGCTTTCTTCACTTAAATGGTAAATGCCTGATTCAATGCTGGCAATAATCTTCGGAACGGGAATACGTTTAGGTGTAATGGCATAATTCAAACCGTTTTCAAGTATCTGCGTTTCCTGTGTGTTCAGTTGTCTTGTAGATAAGTTAATTACCCATCTCGATTTATCAACATATGCTTCGGTATTTTTGATTACACCTAATGAATTAAGTTTTTGTTCATGCTTGGTCTTAATAGTGTCTTTCATTTTGTCCGAGTTATACTTAACGACATCTTGGAGGTCTTTCAAATGTTCTGGTGATAAAATGTTTGATAAAATGTTTAAATTGTCGTGATACTCATCCTGTTTCCGTTTGATCTTGTGATGGCTGTGTTGAATGCGAAGTCTCAGGAAGCTCCAACCCGCTTTTGACATTATATCTGTACCTTCTCTGCAAACAACCGGTGGCGTAAATCGGAGACTTTTGGGTAATACCTTGGCGTTCTTTAACTCGTGGTTGAATGACAAATGCTCCTTCTGTTTGGCAATGCTATAGGACTTCCTTTCAAGGTCTCTTGCGATCTTCATAGCACGCGAACCATAATGTGAATTTATAAGACGAAAAATGCTAAACATTTTTTACATAGCTAGTGACAAGAAACTTTTAATCTTTTAATATATAAATATGAATCCTAGCTGCAATTTTAGCATTTTTCGATATATATATATATATATATATATATATATATATATATATATATATATATATATATATATATATATATATATATATATATATATATATATATAGAACATATTTATTAAGACAAACTATCAAGAGAATATGGCAAAAATTATTGATCTCACGGCATTTTGCATTATTACATTTTACAGAAATATTTTTTTCTTATTTAGTGGAGGACACATTGTTGAGTAAGACGAATATACTGCTTATTTGTGAAGGATTGGACACTGTTGCTGATGTATATATCAATACAGTTTCTGTTGGTCAGAGTACCAACATGTTTCAGAGATATGTATGGGATATAAAAAAAGCTTTGGTAACTGGTGGTAATAAAATAACGATCAAGTTTACTTCAGCTGTGACATACAGTGCTTACAAGAGTAAACTGTATAACTATACTATCCCACCCAATTGTCCTCCTTCTGTACAGCATGGAGAATGTCATGTCAATTTAATACGAAAAAAGCAATGTTCTTTCAGCTGGGTGAGTTACTTCAATCATGAAATATTTTAAATATTAATTAAGTATGGCAGTGGTGGACACGGGGGGGGGGGGGG